TATGCCATTTTTATTCGGTTCGTTGCCATTTTTATTTGAACTGTTGAAAAAATGTTCCGTTCCTCGGAAGAGTACATTTACGAAGGCAACTTTTCCATCCCATCTCGTGTCTGCTCTCTCACACAAAACAACAAATTAAAACATCACACATCGATGCATTGCATCATTCTTTTGTTTGAATTATTCCTGTATAAGAGAACAAGAAAACAATAGCACCGGTATTCTGGAAACTACAAGATCTCTTCCGAGATAGATCCACTTGTTGTGACTACAAAGCAGATTGCTATGGAGGTACGTAAAAGACTAATAAACCATGCAAAATATTTTTTCAGGAGACTAAGAATTTTTATTTCCATCATTACATGGTTCTACTGATTTGAAATGACTCTACGAGCTTTCGCCGCGTGTGAATCACGAATACTTTTCTCTATCACTCAAATATTTTGGGTGGCGCATCCCTAAGTGATGTCGGTATTTCAAAACATCGATATTTTCACAATATCATCGACATTTTAAGCCGATATTTTTTAAGGTTGATGTTTTGTGTTCGACACTTTTAAATCATAACGAAATTCTATAATAATTTTCAGACTTCCAATAATTGAATATTCTCCAAAAATATTCTCGAACTTTTGTCAATTCTACTGACTGTTTTTTGACTTTGTTTTGTTTGTTAAATATCAATTGAAATTAATAAACTTTCAAAATAAATCCCCTTCGCTTGAACGCCAATGGTTACAATTTTAAAAATATCGTTGTTTAATACCATACATGGTTTGGGTTCGAAGATTTTTATTAATATGGATATGTTAATTTTGAGCATCGTTGATTAGAAACAGTTGTTCGTGACTTCGGTGGGGTAACAATTATCGGAATGTTATACCAAAGTTCGCGGGTTGAAACACGATCGAAGTAGTGGATTTTTAAGGCCGAAAAATCTTTCTGCGTGGTGGGGGGGAATGAAGGCTGCTGTCCCGGGTTGTAGATTTACTGCATGTAAAAGATCAAGAAGTCCAAACGTAGCCTGTGATCCAAAATCGGATTCAAATCGCCGGATTCGTCTCCCGAGGGGTATTTTCCTTTTCCGCTAGACGGTAGGCCTAATGCACCGGGTAAGGGTACGAGACGCTGTGGGCATTTGTGGACCATATCTGAATATGCAAAATCAATGAGAAGAAGAGGAAATGCAAGGGCATGGAGGTCATCTCGAGGGAGAGAGTACGGTCAAATCGCGCAAATAGGGTTCCTCTAGTCCAACACATGAATAACAGTGGTACTCTCAGTTAGTATTTCATATTTTAACTTTTACAGAATTGTGATCATGGGAATTTTTCATTCGGAAACAAAACATCGGGGGGGGGGGACATCGATCATAAAACGCCGGTTTTAATACGTTGATGTTTCTACAAAACATCGCCATCGCTGTCGCATGCCGTCGTCGGAATCGCAGGGGCCCGCTGCTGCCCGGGCGCGCTCGTCGGGGCTCATTTGCGCAATTGCGGCGGCGAGTGGCGCAGATAACGCGATCAGCAGCATTGTTCGCCGCGGGCGGCCGCCCTCGCTGGTTTTACTGCCGCCGCCGCCGCTGCGAGCGCCCACGCCCACGCCCACGCCCGCGCCCACGCCCGCGCGCTCGCTGCGCCGGCGGAGAGGCACGCGCGATTAGACAGCCATCCGACCGCCAACGGCGACTGTCAACAGGGAGATTGAGAAATCAAGGGTCGACGACCGGGCGGGCGCTCGTCGGTGCTCTGCGTTTCCTCTGTTTCCGTGGACGATCCCAGCCGCTTCAATGAATATGTCGATCGGTGAGCTCTGGTGTGGACTGGTGACGGCACTCTGTGCTGAGAAGTCGTGACGGTCCGCCAAGAAGGTGAACGGCTATACTGCAATACTTTATCAAAATCCACACTTTCATTTATTAGAGACTTTTTTAAGCTTTCGCGTAATGGGCTTCTAATGTCGTTAGAATAGTTTAGGAAATCTAAACAAATATTATCAAAGTAATGACTTTGAAACAATATTTCATCTAATAACAATCTAGTTTACAGTTTGTTGGCGTTTTTACAACCGCATGCTACGCACTACTTTGGAAATTTCGTTGACAGAGATGATTGTAAGTAGAGATAATTGTACTAAGAGAACACAAGGCACATTTAACTCGTGAGAGAGTCTGAAGGTATTGTAGACAACCGAAGGAAAAATGATCGTCACGATTTCAGCATTTCAAAGCTTTGCAGTTGCATATCTAGTTATAATGTTGAGATCACTTATCTCGACCGACGGAAAGTATTGTAGTTGTTCTTCCTTTCTTTATAAACACAATCAAACTATGATGGAACCTCTAATGAAAAAGTCTTTATTATTTCACGATGTGCTTATTGATCTTTTTCCAACTCACAATTACGTTTCACTTCTGAATCTCTATATTCGACATATTACATTCTTATTCATCCCGCAATCCATTCATCACAAAATGCTTTTTTAAAATGTTTTTAAAACGGCCTAAAAGCAAATAAAAATGTCGTACAAAATTGTATCAAAACCAGTTCAGATGAACAACTCACGCTTTTGGATGTAAACTGAGGCGTCTTGCTTTCGTTTAAGTGAAGTCAGCTTGCAAACGTTTGTTTTGGATTGTTCTTTACCAGGAAATTGCTGTCGTTGGTTATTACGAAATCGGTCGAACCGACAATGGCGCTGATAGGCGTCATAGGAATTTGATATTACATACTCACAACGACTAACATTACAATTTCGGAGCAATGAAATAGAGTAAGTTTCTCAAGATCTCTGTGGAGAACATTTGTTACATCTCGTAAATATTATTTGAGGCAAGCAGCATTAAAATGATGTTAAAATCGATGAAATCAGAGAAAAATTCTTTACAAATGAAGGAAAAATTACTTTTTATTCTAAATCGATGAAAAATACAAAAACAAGCTTATAATAATCGGTAATTTCCTTTTGTCGTAACATAGAATTAATATATATATACATATATATATATATATAT